CCTTTTTCCTTGTATTGTTTAGAACTGGGCTCCTGGTCCCCCTGGTAGGGGAGCTTTCACTTCCCCCCCCCGCTTCTCAACATGATAGGTGTAAACAATATAAAGGAGGAAGTCTGAGCCCTTGCACACAGCCAATCTGCTGCTCTCAAATAAATTTAACCATGCAACAGCAGCAAGCGGTACTCTTTATTTCTAACACCATAGCGCAGAACAGTTGATTGCTTGACTTTTTCTCTTTCCAGTAATGAAAGATTTTCTGACGCAATGGTGAAAGGCACTTAATCTGTAACTATTGTTGCTCTTCATAACAATAAGCACCGGTGCGGGTGTGTTGGAAATTGCACCTCTACAATGCCAATCGGTCTTGGCTGCAAAGGCTTCCGTTCTCGGACCTGAGAGAGAGCGGCCGCTGCAGGGTTGGGCCCCCGAGCGGGGTTGGGCTCCTGCCCTCCAGGACCTGGGTCGCTCTGGGGCTGAGCGAGCTGGTGCCCTCTTCCTACTCCCAGGAAAAGGAAAAAGCGCCCAGAGGCGCCCTCTCTCACTTTCGGGGAAACTTTCCCTCTCCTGCCTTCTGGGCTTGGGACTCATGCCCCACCCTGTGACCTTTCCGTCCCTAGAGGAGAACCCTGCGCACACACCCACCGTCACCTTTGCCGCGCCCCAACCCCGGCTCTGCGCACAGCGCACCCCAGCGGCCGCCTGGCTTCCTGTCCCCGAGGCCACTGGGCTTCCGGAGCGTACGCCAGTCGCCTTCGCGGTCGCTTCGCGGCTAAGGTGTCGGGAGCCCGCGAGAGGCCGTCTCCTCCGGACCCCCGGAGGACTAGCGACTGCTGTGCCCGCTCCGCCCGCCACACCTGGAGCCCTGTGGGGCGGGGCGGGGCGGGCGGGGAGGGGCGGGGCGGCGGGAGGTCGGCCCTGCGGGGCCGGCAGTGGCAACAGCCTTCCGACTGAGGCGGGGGAAGAGGGAGGGTCTCGGGCAGCGTCCCGCTCCTCCGAGGGAGGGACCCCAGCTGGGTGGAAACCGGCCGCCGCGAGCCGCAGAGACGCGGGGGACCATGAACCCAGCCGGCTCCAGCCCCGGGCGGCAGCAGCGGGACCAGGACTCGGTCGAAGCGTGGCTGGACGATCACTGGGACTTTACCTTCTCTTACTTTGTTAGAAAAGCCACCAGGTAAGAAGAGGACCCACGGAAGACCCGGCCGCGGCACGCAGTGTGCCCGGGGCCGCTCTCTCTGCCCTACTGAATTTCCCCGCACTCGCCCTGCTACAGCTCCTGCCCCCAGGCCCCTAACTGGAAGTAGGTCCGCGGTCCTGTTACGGGCTAGAGAGTGCCCGACTGTAAGTGAGCAATCCAAAACCTCGAGCGCCGCCTTCGTGCCAACTTTGCTCCCAAAGTTCAAATACAAAACTGTGCGTGCGCCCCCGTTCCCCGCGGTGCTGCTGTCCTCCGGGAGCAAGATCGCGTCCCGCATCCGCGCCCACGGGCCTCCCTCCAGCTCCCCGACCCCTCTCGGCCCTCCTAAACATTCAGCAAAACCAAAACAGTTTGCAGCCCCTTCGCCGCCGCTCCGGAAGCACCGCGGCCAATTCGGTCCCCGCAGCTCCGCTCCTCCCCCGTCCCCCCTCGCCCTGGCCCTGGCTGGGCGGGGAAGCCGGGGCAGGGACGATCCCGCAAGGGAGCCCCAGCTGCAACATGCCGGAGCCTTCACCAAGTGAGTGCGGTCGCCGCGCCTGGCCAGCCCCTGATCTTCCCGCGCTCCCTTCTCCCGCTTTCCGCCCGAGGCTGAGCTGCCGCCGGGAGACTGCGCGGGATTCGCGGCGCGCACACAAAGGCGCGAGGGAGGTGCCGCGGCAGGCGGATCCCCGGGGGCTAGCGGGTGGCGCGCGGCGGCCGAGACCCCAGAGGCCGCTCCTCCTGGTCGGGAGCCAAGCTCCGGGCGGCGGCTCGAGGGCGGGGAAGGGGAGCCCGGCCTTTAGGAGGTGGCTGCACAGTGCAGCCGGGCGCGCGTGGGAAACGCTCGCAGAGTTGGAGGGGACACTGAGACTGGCGCGGCGGAGCCAGGAAGGTGGCGCATCGGGCGCGTGGCGCGCGGGCTCCCCGAAGCTGGAGGATTTGACTCGAAGCCGTGCTCCGTGGAGGAAGGGGCCCGGGCCCCGGCGCCGCCGACTTGGGGCAGCGGCTGTCGGGCAGCTGGTGCTGGCCGCCGGGACGCGGCGGGCGACGGTCCCGGGGCGGGGATGGTGGAGGCGCC